CCGAGTGCTGGGATTAAAGGCGTGCGCCACCAACGCCCGGCTATTTTTTGTTTTTTTGAGACCATATGTTTAAAAAGAACAAAAAAAGACTCTAGAAAAATGCCATATTGTCTTTATGTCCACTATTGTTAAATGCTGATTGTACTGGAGTTCTTGACTCTCTGCCTCTGTAGGAACTTTCAGACATACATATGCACACACCCTTTCTCTTCCTGTGTCCCTTTAGTGTCCCCTGTCTCTCTTGCCTGAACATTACATGGTGATCACTGGAAAGAAGACACGATGACCCCAGGACCTGGTTCTGATGCTCTAGTCAGAATCAACCCTCTGCCTGGACATATGACAGAGCAGTCCAGATGTTTCTCCCAGCCTGTGCACCCAGCTGGGAGAGAGACCTTGGCACAGACATCTGGATCAGCTTCCTCCTGGAAAGATACTACAAACCACAAAGTTAGCATACCCCTATTGACTGTCCATATCTCTGCTCGCATCCGTATCCAACCCCCACTACACACACATCAGCTGCTAGCTGGCCTCCTTTTCCATGTCTCAATGATAGAATGGGAGCAGGGGGATACAACACCAGACACTCACTCTCTTCTCTGTCTGGCTCTTTTTTTTTTTTTTTTGAGACATAGTCTCATGTGGCCCAGACTGACCTCAACTTCTTACATAACTGCAGATGACCTTGAACTTGAGGTCTTCTTGTGTATGCCTCCCAGTGCTGGGATCGCAGGCATTCACTGCCACACTGTTTCTGTTCCTTCCGGTCCCTGCAGCCCTTTAGTCCCAAATAAATACACAGAAGCTTATATTAATTATAAACTGTTTGGCTGATGGCTCAGGTTTCTTATTGGCTAGCTCTCTCTTAATTATTAACACATTTCTATTAATCTGTGTATCTCCATATGGTCTTGGCTTACCGAGAATGCCCAGACATCCTACCTTCCTGGTGGCTACATTGTGTTTCCTTACGGAAACTCACTCTGGTGGCAGAAACAGCTTTATTAATCAAGCAATAAGAGAAACATATTCACAGCATAAAGAAGGGTATCCCCTATTTCTCTGCAAGGCCTAAGACCCCATCACGGGACAGCATCCTTTTTACAGAAACTACCTCTTCAAATGGAGATGGTTGGCCCTGGGGTATACCTATAACCCCAGACCAAAAGAGAGAGCTAGAGACCAGATTAAAAGGTACACTCACCTTGAAAGCCTGATGAGTTCAAGTTGAGACCTGGTCTCAAACTACAAAATCAAGCAAATATGCTAGCACACACCTGTTGCCCAGTGTTTGGGAAATGAGGCAAGAGGATCCATTCAAAGGACATTCTCCTTTACATAGCAAATTAGGAGGTCAGCCTGGACTACATAAAACCCTTTCTTAAAATACAAAACCACACTCTCTACCTGGTGAATCTCTTGAGACTAGTCTGGTCTGTGTAGGGAGTTCTACAGCAGCCAGGGATACACAGAGAAACCCTGTACTGCAAAATAACAAAAAACTTAGGGCTAGCTAAACAGCCCAGCAATTAGGAGTGTGTCCTGCTTTTACAGCGGTGTCAAGCTTAATTCCCAGCACCCCTGTCAGGTGGCTCACAATGGCCTATAACTCTAGCTCCAGAAGTGAATGGCTTCTACATGTCTACACACATACACATACACATAGTTAAGAGGAATAGCAATAAATCTTTTTTGCCTCTGTCTTTTCAAGACAGAGTTTCCCTGTGTAGCCTTGGCTGTCCTGGAACTAGCCCTGTAGACCAGGCTGGCCTCAAATTTGCAGGATTAAAGGTGGGTGACACCACTGCCTGGCCAATGCTTTTCTTTTTCTTTTAATTTATTTTCTTATTTTTATTACATATACAGTGTTCTGTCTGCATATTTGCCTGCACACCAGAAGAGGGCACCAGATCTTCTGATAGATGGTTGTGAGCCACCATGTGGTTGCTGGGAATTGAACTCAGGACCTCTGAAAGAGCAGTCAGTGCTCTTAACATCTGAGCCATCTCTCCAGCGCCCCCCCCTTTT